TTTCATGTCCTGAGGGTTGGGTTTTGTCCTTTTTGCTTCCTGCAGCCAAAGAATATTGTGAACAGCCTTTTTGGATGCTTGACCAGTGCTATATGTTTATCACCACTCACTGTAAATTGTACGTGCTGTGCCTTGGGTATTAGCCAACATATTAACACAAAGAACAGAAATAAACCCTCCAAAACCGAGGGGCACAGACTGCTTTCTAGATGCCAACATTTCACAGCTCAGAAAGGACCCGAAACAGACCCACCTAGAAACCAGAAAGTCCAGGCAATTCCACAAAGATGCTAGAGAAGAAAGGATGAATGATGCTTTTCCTCCACCCTATACTTTTGCTCAAGTAGGAGATCTGGACTGCAATGGTCAATCGCAGTACAGTTACAGTCACGGAAAGCAGAGCTTGGGGAGCAGCCATGGTCCTGGCTATAGTCTTCACCTGGCCCAAGACAGCACGCACAGACAAGGCAAGAGGACAAGAAAGAAGCTATGCTTCTGCCATCCCGGCAGCCGTGGATGTGTATAAGGAAATACCAGCTCAAGTGAGACGACGGCATTTCTGAGCACAGCTTAGCTCCCGACTATGGCTGTGCTCAGAGCAGCCTGCCCTCAGACGGCTTCCCAGGCACTGATGCTGCCCCACCGAGCGCAGCTGACACCAAAAGCTGTCCCAGGCACAGTGCTACGTGAGAATCTCGCTGACCCCCATAGTTTCTGATTACTTAATTACACTACGGGAGTGAGGGAGGGAAAAGGCGTGCACCCCACGAAAGAAAAATGCCATAAAGGTAGTTGAGTATCATTTTATGACCCTTTTTTATTTTCAAATAAGAGACACTCAAGCAACAGAGGTAATATTTATAACTGTCCACACCTTTCCTCTCCTTCAAGGTATACATCATATTACAAAAAAAAAAAAAGAGCGATTCAAGCATAATTAAAAACCTGCCATGACTTTTTTTCTATTTGCTTATTTTTGGAGATTATTACTGCAGCAATTATATTTAAGAATTCCAGGAAGAGAGGCCACTGGTTTATTATCACTAGGAAACAGCAAGCTACTTCTCTGCCCTGTTTATCTGATTGATTCCCAACATCTTTCTGGCACACAATCTATCAGTTTATCTCTCCCACTTCATCACAGTCACTTCTGGCAGCTAAATACAAGATCCAAATCCAGTGTTACACAGACATACGACACAGTAAACCTATGTAACACCGCTACTCTGTAAACAGCTGCCCTTAAGGCTAAGAAGAAATGGGATCTTGGTTTCTAGTCAATATTCTGTCAAAAGCAAGGTGGGAGGGAGGGTTTTCACAGCAGCGAGAAATGGTGCAGCAAGGTTTTAGTGGTTTCTTCCTGTACCAGCAATAAGGTGTGTTTACTGTCTCCTCTTATCTTGCTTCCTTGGCACGATGCACAGAAAAAACTGCTGAGTAGCAATGGCAGAGGCCAAGGCACAAGAAGACAGTAATGCACAGATGTCCTACACTCAGAGAACTACGCAGCAAAAAAGGACTTGCTCTTCCTGGTAGCCCACCAAATCCACAGACAGGTAGACTAAGGAGTGCCGCCGAGGTCTTACAACTATGTCCACGCTGGTTAGAACAAGATGCGTTTTGGGGCAGGTTCCTAATGCTGTACCTGGGAAGCGGGCAGGATCTTGTTGGACAGGATCGCTCTCCTTTTGGCAAGGCAGCATTTCCCATGACAGCTGTGAAGGGCAAGGAGTTGAACTGTATGCCACTTAGCGTGGCGACAGCAGGGATCCCGTTATTTGCTGGGGGGCATGTCCTCTCCTCTGTGCACAGAGGATCCTCTCACCAGAATTAGCAGGGAAAAGCTTTGTGCAGCAGTCGAAGACTAAACCCTGCACACAGTAGTCTCCTCTGCACTAACTAGGCCACCAGCCGATCAGCCATTAGTTGAGGCAGAGCCGGTTTTGTTGACCTTGGGGCTGACAGTGAAATGGTCTTTCAATGCAGCGTCAACTGCAGGACTGGGGACACTCCTGGGGAGAGGAGAGGGAGACAAAGACGAGGGGGAAGTAAAAAAAAAGCAGGGACAAGAGGGAAATTAGGGAATAGAAATAAAAGCTGCGAAGCATCTTATTACATCTAAATAGTGTACGTCTTAAAGCTAAAGTTATAAATCATGCTAACAATGGTTACTAAAATAAAAGTGGATGTAGCCAGAGGCTACCACTGAAAAAGTCAGTCTAGACCTGCCTCGCTGCCTTTGGTCTTTAAGGATTTGATTAGTTTTTCCGCTTTCTAGTTCAGAGTCTTGCATTCAGCCCATGCTCCAGAGCCAGCTAGGGCTCAGGATACAGAATGAATGATAAATTCATTTACTGAATAAAGCAACACAGTTTTCACAGCACAAGACTTAAACCACTTCCGAAGCTGTAATATTTCATTAAGCTTGGCGATTCTGGTTAAAATTTATTAGTCAAAACAGAAAACTCTCATCAGACCCCATATATTCCATTAGGAGTGATATATGGTGTCTCCCAATGTCTAATTATTAACTAGGAAATGTAAGTAAATCACTATCAGCATTAAGCCCTGATGTGTGAAGACAAGAGTTTGAGTCAGGCAATTTCAGCATCAAAAGGCTTTGATTTGAAACATATCCTTTTTTGCTCTCCCTCCTTCACCTCTTCACATCTTCCCCGAACTTCAAAAACCTAAGCTCAGTCTCCCACGTAAATGAACACAACTGCCTACCTGCAACGAAGTGCAACCACGTCCAGCAGACTGCAACTCAAGTACCGTCTCTGAGCTGCTCCTACCAAAAGCTGGAACCAGGAAGACAAACTATGTGCAAAGCGGACAACGGGCAATAGTAAGCAGAAGAAAGTTGCTAACATTTTTATTTGTCTTTGGAACGAAGCGGCGATGCTTGCCACGAGTGCTCCCGCACACGTGTGTTTCTGAACTCAACAAAGCTTTGCTATTAAAACCAGCCCCGTCAGACTCCCTAGTCAAAACCAGGGACTACCGACCACACGAAAAGCACGCAGAGGTCGCGTGGTTTGCCAAGGCCCACAAGCCGTGTTCACGGAGGGCTGGGAGCAGATGAAGACTGACTCTCCCTTCTGTGTCCTGAGCGCGCAAGAGCTTAAAATCTGCAACGGCTAACAAAGAGCAAGGCAGAACGTGTCCAAAGGCAAGAGCTTCGAAAGCGGTTAGTATTCAGCTACCTTTGCTGACACCAAAGCCATTGTTAAAATTTACACTGGAGTCAATGATGTGTGCTTTCTAAAGAATTCACCTTAAAAGGACTCCCTCTCTACACTAGTTAGAGAGATGCACACAAAGTACATTGTACAAAATTAGAGGGATTTAGAAATGCCATCAGGGTGTTGTTCAAGGGTAATAGAGATTCATTTCTCATTTTAGAGGTCAATTTTCATTTTAGAGGTTAGGTCTCATTTTCATGCACTATCTATCAGTGTTTCTAATACTACAGTTGCTGACCTTTCTGATTTGCAGACCCCTAAGAATTTCCACTTGAAACAAAGAGCTAAGTATAGCTGAAATAAGCCTCGTGACAAAAGGCTCACTTTTCTCAGCCCTCACAGACCACTTCAAATTAACACCTCGCAAAAGTTGATCTATAGAAACAGTTTAGTTTACAAAGCTTAGGAAGATAATCAGAACAAAAGAAACACTTTTTCTCCGATGTTATTAAAATCCTCCGAAAAGCCAGTAAAGGCACGGGTCATTTCTGCTACAGTGCATCAAAGCCACCTACTCTGTCTTGCAAGTGGCACTGCTGCCTTTGAATTCACCGAGTCAGGTATGCGAAGAGGTGAGACGCAGTCTCAGCCCGGCCATTGTGCTGGCTGCTGTACAAGGAAGTCAAACCTGTCCTATCGGGCTCCCTGCACCGATAATAATATCAAACAAGGGGCCGACAATGTTCATTTTACAACAACTCTGCAGAACAATG